CCTACTGTGTGCCAGTCACTGTATCTGTATCTGGGGATACAAATAAGGAAAAAACAAAGACAGTCCTTGCCTTCAAGGAGCTTACCCTTTAATGGGGGAAGACAAAACACAAAAGGAAGCTGAAAAATGGGAGATAAAAATGGAAACAGAAATCCCAAAGTAGCGCAGCTAGGTGAGAAATGAAGATGTCTGAGCTCCAAACCAAATGGAGGTTTGGCATTCTTCCAGTCAGAGAGGCAGGTGGTGGTGATGAAGTGGAGGACCAACACTGATTTTACAGAATAATGAAGTTATCCTAATAATGAGCTTCTTGGGGCATAGTAGAGAAGTCCCAGAGTAGTGCATCCACATGAGAAATGGGATGTCTGAGCTGGGCCTCCTCTGCAAATGGAGGTCTGGAGTTGGACATGGCAAATGCAAGCATTTGTTTTACGTGACTATATAAATTTGTAATGAGTTTTGTTTTTCTTGCCCTCTCATTGAGTGGGGAATGGAGAGGGAGTAGGAAAACCCAGAACTGAAAACAAAATAGAACTGAATTATTTTTTAAAAAAGAAAATTCCCCTAGCCGTACCAGGTTTCAGACTAAACAAAGAGCTAATCATCAAAACAAGTATGGTACTGAATAAGAGATAGAGTGATAGATTAGTGGAATAGATTAGGTACACAATAACACATAGTAATCTCATGGTTGATGAACCAAAAGATCCAAGCTTTGGGGGCAAGAACTCACCATCTGACAACAATTGCTGGGAATAATGGAGAACAACTTGGCAAAAACTAAGCAAAGACCAACATCTCATACCATATATTAAGATAAGGTCAAAATGGATAAATGATTTAAACATAAAGGGTGATATCATAAGTAAATTATGGGAGCATGGAAAATGTACTTGTCAGATCTATGGATAAGGGAGAAGTTTATGACTAAATAAGAGACAGAGGCTCATAGGAAGTAAAAGGGATAATTTTGATTACATGAAATTAAAAAGGCTTTGCACAAACAAAACTAATGCTATGTTTGAATCAGAGTGATTAAGTTTAAAGATGTAAACAGTATCAGTGTCTTATCAGGAAGGAGCTGCCAGAATGTCACCCCATTAACCTAGAAGGCTTAGCCATATATACACCAGTAGCCGGAGATCAGCTAAATGGGGAGGGATGTTCCTCACCATAAGGAAATTAGTAATGTGCTTGTTTTTTACACACTATAGAATTTACATTTCTGTGGCATGTGAAGCTTTTATGAAATGTGGCATACTCTGTTCTGCTAGTAAAACTTAAACCTTAAAAAGCAGAAAATTGCTTCTGTATAGTTTTAATGTTAGATATCACCCTATTTCTAAGATACTCTTTGTAGTTTACTTTCTGTGAGTCTTATATGTTTTCTTCTTCTAATATGGTTGTACTTGAGTGATATGTTTTAAACCCCATGTTTTAGATTGCATAGCAGGCCATTGCTCCTGCTGCTGCCACCCCCAATCTCCCAGAAGGTTTGGATAGCTGAGCTTCACTTAGATGTAGGACTTTAGACACTGCCTTTGTTGGGCTTTTCAGAGTACTGATTTAACCGATGAATTGGTGAAGACTTTTGGATGGTGCCTTATACTCAAGCCTTTTTTGTACAACTGTATACATAGATACTTGTAAAAAGAACTCCCATTCTTCCCTTTGACTTAAAGATTTGCACTTTGTGTTAAGCACTTTCTTACTGGGATGAGCAGGCAAGGAGACTACAGTTTGCATCTGTTCCAGTTACACCCATAGAGCATAGAATCATCCTACCTGTGGTTGGGTGTATTGCTTTCTTGTTAATTCAGCTCATGAATACTGTTTTAATATAGAACTTAGACTCCTTTGGAAGAACATGGCAAAGATCCATTACCCTTTCCTTCATAAAACAAAAAGACACAGTATTCAAGTCTGGCTGCCAAAAGCTGGCAGCTTGAGACTTGTGACTGAAATAACAAAAAGGTGGCCTCATGGTTCTCTCTCACTGTAGGTAGTCTCTCTGGAATTTCACTAACATTAAATGCAGTAACATAAATTATATTGAATGATGGGCTGAAGACATGTGGCATTGCAAGATGTCACTGAGATGATGCTGACAGTTAGCCTTTTTGGTTGGAGTATGGTCCAAATTATGTTAAAATCACTGATTCATCCCTAGCATGGAATTTGTTCTATGGTTATAGAGTAAACCTCTAACCTTGGTCAGCTGTGGCATAAATTTGGGCCATTGGTATAGTATGGTAAGTTTGTGTCATTGTCTAGGACAGTCACAGTTTCAAGAAAAAAAAATTAATTTCTAATCAGGCTTTGCAAATGGAATACCTCTCACACTATGTGTACTGATTTTTGGTTCAGAAAATATTCCCCCAGTGACCATAGTTACAAAGGAAAAATAAACTCATAACTTGGTAAGTGGGTGATTGGGACCCAATAAGTATTGTTTTTAAAGGAAACAGAACCCAAACATGCCCAGCTGAAAATGATAACTTCACGCATATTTAATTTTTCAGTAATATTAGAGAAAGAACTGTTGTGAGCCCCTTCAGACTTTGAAAAGAGAACTGCCAGTATATTTTGTGAATCTGCATTTATAACAGTTATGGATGTGAACTGTAGTTGGAGGGACATCAGTACATATTATCTTGGGCAGACACTGAGGCAGTGCCTCAGAGAAGTGCCCAGAATTTTATAGGAAGGGAGGGAGCTAGATGGTGCTTTTAATGACCCTAAACTTTTCCTTGAAACAAAGCCCCATTGGTTTCACAGTTTTATTCTCCTGGTAAAGTACAAATGTGAAAAGAAATACTGGGGACCTTTCTTTAGGAATTTACCTACTTCCCTCAGAAAAAGGTCTTGGTAAAATTGTATACTTTGTTCAGTTTCTTAAAATGGTGATTGAAATTTGCCTAAAGATATATTGCACTTAGAAAAAAAGTAGTAGTTTTGATGTAGATTAAGAAAATGCCAGATAAGCAAAAGATGGAAGAGGGCAGAATTACCCACAGATGTACATGAAGTTAGTTCTATTCTCTCTCACTGTCACTGTCATAAAGGGTGAGATTTTGTATAAGTACCATGTATGTCAGAATCAGGGGCCCTCATTTTGCCCAGATTGGTTATGTGGTCACCAGGTACTTTGGATTTTATATGGGTCATTCCTGTTAGTTTTAGTTTGTTTTTGTATCCTAAGTACTTGATAAATATTTAATTAATTGAATTAATGATTAACTCATTGAATCACTAATAACTTTAATAAAGAAACATAATAAAAATAAACCTTGGGTTTTGCCAGTATCTCCAATAGAAATACTGACTGTTTTGTCTATATTTTGCTGTGGGACCTATGGAGTTCTCACTCTCCCCCTCCATGGGGAGGGGGAGGGTGTGGGTGTGGGTGTCTGTCTCTGTCTCCCTCAACCTTTCCTTCTTTGCCCCCATGTAATATGCTGCATTACATTCTACGCTGGCTGTTGCAACTTTTAATTTTAAAAATAGTTTTCCACTTAAGCCAGCTTTCTTATATTTATGAAAATAACTCTCAGACTTTAAACTTCATCAGGAATCTAAATCTGGTGTTACCAGAAAATCTATTATCTGCTATCAACAGAACATTACAGATGCATGTTTAGTCTCCTGATTTTTTTCCATATTTATATCGTTCATTTTCATTTGGTCAGATTTCCTTTTAGTTGAAGATATTTTTCCCTTAAATTTAACACCTTTAACAAACACTCACAGTCTGCTCAGATCATTAATCATAGTAAGGAGGTAACCATAAATTGTCCAAAGCTATACTATAATCAGATGGCAAATTCTGGGAGGTCCTTCCCAAGCCAGAAAAGCTTCCAGGACCATCATAGCTTAGATTAGGGTGGGTCACCACTGGATATTTGATCAACAAGTGATGAAATGTGTTTTGGGCCATAACACTTTATAAAACTTTATAATGAAAGATTATTGCTGGGAATCACTGAGAAAAATCACATCTCTTTTGAAGCTAAAGCATATTACAGGGAAGGAAATAGTGTCAGTATCTTGTTTGGCACTGTCTATACTAATAGAGATATAGTACCAAGAATTATACCTCTATATCATTGTTGCTAATGGAAACAGTATTTTTTTCTCTTAACTGAAAACTCAGTAATTATACAGGAAAAATGTGGGGTAGTGCAGATTACTTTAAGGATCTATAACACAAGTTCTGCCCTCATGGACCTTACTAATAATGTGTTCATAAATGTGGTCATAAATATGTAGGGTGAAGTAAGGTGAAAGGACCAAGGACTAGACAAAGGTGCCTTTCTGTCTGGAAGCTCTCCAGAAAGTTTTTAAAGAGGAGATGGCAAGAGAGAGGGAATACTTATAGCCATGCATGTGGAGGGCACAGGCAGGGCAAGATGTGTCTAAAAGTTCATGAAGAAAAGTAGGATGAAGTTAGACTGGGGAGGGGTTAAAAAGGGAATTCAGAGTCTTTGTTGTTAAGTCATAACATCCTTTGTGATCTCATTTGCGTTTTTCTTGGCAAAGATACTGGAGCAGCTTGCCATTTCCTTCTCCAGTGGATCCATTTTGTCAGTCAGAGTTTAAGTGAATTAAGTATCTGAGGCTGAATTTGAACTTGGGTCTTCCTGACTCCTGGCCCAGTGCTCTAGCCATTGCCTCATTCAGACTGTAGATGGCCTTCAATGCCAAGAGTTTGGATTTTTTTCTCGTATAGGAATTGGAAATGCACAATAAAGGTTTTTGAGCAAGGGAGTTGACATAGACATAGACTAGAAATTAATTGACATTGAGTTAGTATAGATTGATGGAGTTATAATTGGAGGGAAAACAAGGAGCATGATATTGAAAGAAATTCAATAGAGGTCTCTGTTGTCTTTGCAATAAATGACCAGAACCTCATCAAGGAGGATTGTATTATTTGATTTTGACCTATCGTTCATCTTTACTTAAGCTGTTTAATTTTGGTGTTTTTCCCCCCTTTTTAGATTCAGCCTTATGAGAAGATAAAGGCCAGAGGCTTACCTGACAATATAGCTTCTGTCCTGAATAAGTTGGTGGTGGTAAAACTCAATGGTGGTTTGGGAACTAGCATGGGCTGTAAAGGCCCCAAAAGTCTGATTGGTGTACGGAATGAAAATACCTTTTTGGATCTGACAGTTCAGCAAATTGAGGTAGGTAATATTTAACAAATTATGATGTTAAAATTGAGTTTAGTAAAATTAGATGATACAGAAAGTTGTGGGTTAGGTGTTTTGGTGTTGGTCTTTTTTTATTACAAATGTTAGAGGAAAGAAACTATTGTATTTTAATGCAGTAATTGTCTGGCTGCCCTCCAGCTTAATTCTTAATTAAGCTCAAGAGCTTTTACTCTTAAATAGAATCTGTCAGAAATGGTCACTAGAATTCCTGAATCTCTTGGCTTACTCTTTCCATGTTTCCATTAAATACCAACATTTATGTCAAGAGTTTAGGTCCTAGGATGACAGATTGGAAGTTGGCTATCTAGACCAGCTCTCCTATTTTACATATAAGGAAATTGCAGCCCAGAGAAATTAAATGATTTATTTACTTAATAGTAGTAATCAGAAACAGTATGGCATAACTGATAGAGAGCTGCCCTCAAAGCCAGGAAGGCTGAGGTTCAAGATCTGCTGGGCTGTGCAAGTCAATCTTTATTAGTAGAGAGAATTTCCTCACCTGGAAATTCATATCAGGTAATCATAATTATCCATGAAATCACAGACCCCCTAGACTAGCGATAATATGTGACATTTATGTGTCACTTTAAGGTTTGTAAATTGCTTTATATTATTTCACACAATCAGTAAATCGCAGACCTAGGATTTGAATTCAAGTCCTCTGATTCCAAATCCAGTGCCATTTCCATTATACCCCATTGTCCTTCTGTATCAGCTGTTACATTGATGGGATGGGGAAAGTGGGAGTATTAGTTAGACTTACTTTTAATATTAGCTGTTAAGATTTGGGCATCTTCCTTTATAATCCCAAAGTACCTATCTGAGAAGTTTAAAATGAAAATTTAAATTGGAGGTAAATTCAGATACCTAATACCAGGAAGTTTCTGGAAGGGACTGTTTCTTTGGAAGCTTTCCCCTTCCCTTCCTCCCCCCTCCCAGGTTCTGAACATCATAGTAGGTGCTCACTAAAGACTTGGGTACTTGGTTAAATTGTAAACAGGTAAAGACATTTTAGAGGGGTTTTGTGTTATAGTTATGAATGAAGAGGAACTTTGGAGTTCTTAGACAAAAAGTACAACGGGTTAATATTTATTTCACTTATACCTTCTTTCCTAGCACTTGAACAAAACATACAACACAGATGTTCCTCTTGTTTTGATGAACTCTTTTAACACCGATGAAGATACAAAAAAAATACTTCAGAAGTACAGTCATTGTCGTGTGAAAATCTACACTTTTAATCAAAGCAGGTACTATGGATATACAACTTGGATTGTGTTAACTTATTGAAAGAAGTGAGAGATTCATAGGTTGTTCATTTTTCACTTCTCCATCACTTTCAGGAGAGCCTCTGGAGATAATGTGTTGTAATAGAAATGACTGTTGCCGTTGAAGGTTGAACATTTGCTTCTGTTCTTGGAAGTGTGAATTTTTAAGTTGCTTTGTGCTTTAACTGAAAATATAAGTGAAAATTGGTTCCAGAATAGACCTGTTAGGCCTTGGCCAGTATAGAAAGTATCCAGCCATATGTTAGGACTCTGGAACCAAGATTGCTCTTTTTTTTTTTACATTTTGTCTACCTCTATATAGGAGGGCTGCTTAGAGAAAAATAGACAAAATTTCTGGCCTGGATCAGAAAACCATTTTGGCTTGTAATGTATTTGATCTTGATCCCTTAAAAAAACATTTCATTTGACATCTAACTCATTTTGGGGAAAGTTCTGGGGAGTTCTATCCCTTGGTCACCTTCTATAGAGAAGGGGGAGATGATTGAAGAGTTTTTACATGCTTATGTCATGGCATAAAATGCTGTTACAGTATTTTAGGTTTTCCTAAGAAACAAAATTAATTTAAATGTTGATTGGGGAGTGCCTCAGTTTATACAATAGACGTGTTTCTAAGGTTGTCTGCAAATCCATTTTCCTAAATTCATTTTCCTACTGATGTTACTTCAGTGATTTTTACTACATATATTTCTGATTTGTTTTGGACTTCCCTTAATGTTCCTCTGCTCCTTTCCTGCATGCCTAGAAATTTTATGTGCCTTTTATAAAAAGAACGGTACTTAGAGAAGCCCTATAGTGAGTCTTTTGTAAGAGAAAGCATCTTCTGCTGAATTTGCTTCTTTTGTAAGCTTACCTTTTCCATAGATTTTCTTAAAGGGATGCAGTTTATTTAACCTGTAGTTTCAAAGTTTGCCAGAAATGGTCCTTCAAAGGGGGTTAACTTCTATTTAGATGTGTTGTCATTGATATGAGGGTCTGTGCCCTTCTTTGGAGTTGATAGTGATTTCTTTTTTTTTTTTTCAGGTACCCTAGAATTAATAAAGAATCTTTACTGCCTGTAGCAAAGGATGTGTCTTACTCAGGGGAAAATACAGAAGCATGGTATCCTCCAGGTCATGGTGACATTTACGCCAGTTTCTACAATTCTGGTTTGCTTGATACTCTTATAGGAGAAGGAAAGGAGTACATTTTCGTGTCCAACATAGATAATTTGGGTGCCACAGTGGATCTGTATATTCTTAACCATCTTATGAATCCACCCAATGGAAAACGTTGTGAATTTGTCATGGAAGTCACAAACAAGACAAGAGCAGATGTGAAGGTAAAGGCTAAAAGAAACTGCTAATTAATTTCATTTTGATTGATGGGTTCTATAATTCTTTAACATTTTTATTTCCTTTTGCCCACTAAAAATTATACAATTGCTATATATATTGTATTTTTAGAGTGTTTATGATCATAATTGAGAGGCATTGTAGTATAGTGGAGGGAGAGAGAGGGAGCTTGGGCTTGGGAATCAGAATGGCCTGGGTTCAAGACCTGCCTCTGACATATCCTGGCTGTGTAGGCCTTGACTTCTTAGTGCCCTCAGGTAGTTCTAGGACTGTAAGTGGCAGAGTAGGCATTCCTCTGCTTGGGAAGAGAGAGCCTCCAACATTGTGAAATCAGAGGACCCTAGGATCTGCGATGATGAACTAGAAGGGACCTCACGTCATCCAGCCAACTACCCTCCGCCCCTCAGAGTTCTGCAGATGAGGCACAGAAGGGTTAAGAGACTTCTTTTAGGTCACACAACTAATAAGTAGTAAAGGCCAGATCCTCTATCCATTTTGCTTTTCACTGTCACCATTCTGATTCTCCATAGATTAATTATCTCTGTGCCTGAAAAAGTGCAGTTGCTTCATTACCAATTAGCAAGAAGTTAGGTGGCTGTGAGGACAGGTGGCACAAAGTATTTTGTTATAGCTACTGAAAATTATTGGGGTGTCCACAGAAATCTTTCTTCCCACCTCCCTACTTCCTCTCTTCCCCTTCCTCCCCACATTGCTTCCTTCTCTTTCTTCCTTCTTTTTTCCTCCTGCTCCCTAACACTCTCTCCATTCTCGCCCATTAACCATTTCATTTTGTTTCATTCAGTCTGGGGATCCAGTTTAAGGTGGTGAGAGACAAGTTGAAAGTAAATCCTCAAAGCTACTTCTGCAAATCATTCCCCCACTGAAACTTCCAGATCTCCTATCTTCTCAGGCCCCTTAATGCTTCTTATCTCCCATCTAGGTTTTTCTCTGAAATGCTGATTAAGGCTCCTTTGCTATTTTGTGTAGCAGCCACCCACCCCCAGATCACCAGCATGGTGGTAAAGGCCAGAGGAGTTTGCCTTCAGGCTTCCCTTCTTCCCCACCTCCCACCCCCACATTCTTCTTTTAGGGAGGCTGCCTTGTCCCTAGTCTCTGGAAAGCTCTCTTAGGATTTGGTAATGCCCCTGGAGGGGGCCTCCCTGAGTTGACACTGAAGAATCCTCTTTCCCCAGGCCTTGGGAGCTACCACAAGTAGCCTTGGCACAGAGGAAAGAACAATTGAGGTGGGGTATGAGGCCCTGGCTCTGCCACTCAGTCTCTGATTAGGCACCTGGGGCCCCACCCCATTTTGAGCTCAGCTCCCTCAAGAATAAAATGAGGGGTTAAACTAGAAAAACTTTGAGGCCCCCTCCAGGCCTACATGGAACCATTCACTCTGTGGTGGAGTTAAGAAAGGCCCTGTTAAGTCATTCCCCAATTGATAAATGGTCAAAGGATATGAACAGGCAGTTTTCTGAGGAAGAAACTAAAACTATCTATAGTCACATGAAGAAATGTTCTAAATCACTATTGATTAGAGAAATGCAAATCAAAACGACTCTGAGGTACCACATCACACCTATCAGATTGGCTAACGTGACAAAACAGGAAAATGATAAATGTTGGAGAAGATGTAGGAAAATTGAAACACTAATGCATTGTTGGTGGAGTTGCAAAAACGATCCAACCATTTTGGAGAGCAATTTGGAACTGTGCCCAAGGGGCTATAAAAATGTGCATACCCTTTGACCCAGAAATACCACTTCTAGGGCTGTATACCAGAGAGATCATGAAAACGGGAAAAGGACCCACATATACAAAAATATTTATAGCAGCTCTTTTTGTGGTGGCAAAGAATTGGAAATTGAGAGGATGCCCATCAATTTGGGGAATGGCTGAACAAGTTGTGGTATATGAATGTAATAGAATACTATTATGCTATAAGAAATGATGAGCAGGCAGACTTTTAAAAAAAAACCTGCAAAGACTTGTATCTGATGTGAAGTGAATAGAACCAGGAGAACATTGTACACAGTAACAGCCATGCTGTGCGATGACTAACTTTGATAGACTTGGCTCTATACAGCAATGCAGGAATCTAAGACGACTCCAAAAGACTCACAATGGAAATTGCTCTACACACTTAGAAAAAGAACTATGGAATCTGAATGCATACTATTTGTTCTCCTTTTCCTTTGTTGTTTTATGGCTTCATTGTTGGGGTTCCTCCCATTAGTTCTAATTGTTCTTTACATTATAGCTAATGGGAAAATATGCTCAATATGAATGTATAAGGAGAGCCTATATCAGACTGTACATCTCTTGGGGGTGGGGAGAGGAGAGAATGGGGAAGAAAATTTAAAACTCAAAATCTTACGGAAGTGAATGTTGAAAACTAAAAATAAATTATACAAAAACAAAAAAAAAGAAAGGCCCTGTTAATACTGCCAGGCTGGTGGATCCCTCATTCTAAGGCAGCCAAGGATAAGAGAGTGTTCCAACACGTTCGTGATGACTCAGGTTATATGTGTGCTGCCCCTCCTTGAGACTGCTATTACAGGCTGTAGCTTCCTGCCTTTTCCAACAGCTAGAAAGTGTGGGAGGCAGAAACTGAGCCCAGGACTCTTGATCCCAAGTCTGGTGCTTGGTTCATTAGGTCTTCTTTGTTGGTACCATACTCGAGTTGTAACACTGTATTCTTTTGAATCCTAAATAACGTTAGGAGATGGCATCAATCAACAAGTATTTAGTAAATGCCTACTGTGCGCAAGGCACGGGAGAGGCAAAGACACAAATGACAGGCTCTGCCCTTCTATTGGGGTGGCTGGAGGGAAGAGGGGGGAGGCACTTGCACCTGGAGGAATCAGGGCATCTTTGTGTAGGAGGTGCCACTTGGGCTGAGTTGCGGAGGAAGTTTAAGACGCTAAGAGTACATCGATGAGGTGGATGCAGACAGACTCCAGGCATAGGAAACAGCCTGTCCAAAGGAAGGGAGGCAGGGGAAATGATGGGGTGTGACACATGAAGAAGTGTGGCTGCAGCTTGTGAGTATGCGGAGAGTCATGTGTAACAGGTCTGCAGAGAGCATGGATCCAGGCTGGGCAGGAAAGAACCAACAGGGATTTGTGCTGTAGGGTGTCCCTTTGGCAGTTGTGCAGGACGGATGAGGCTGGGAAACCAATTATTGCATTATAGAACATGTAGTGATTATGATAGTCCAGGTGAGAAAGGATGATGGTCTGAATTAGGGCAATGACAGCCTGAGTAGAGAAACAGGAAAATATGCAAGAGCTGCTGCGGAGTAGAACGGACAAGACTTAAAGCTGACTGGATATGTGGGTGACTCTGAGGGACGCCTGGACATGTGGTGTTGCCCTCAACAGAAGTAGGAAGGAAGGTGGGAGTTTAAGGGGGAAAAGAGGAGTTGTTTGGTACATGTGGACTTTGAGATGCCTACAGGACATCCAGTTGTAAATGTCAGGTAGGCAGTTGGTGATGTGAGATATGGAGCTCAGTAGATTAGGGTAGATCTACAGATCTGAGAATCATCTGCATAGAGATAACTGAACCTAAGGGATTTGTTGATTGTGAAGAGGGTGTCCAGAGAAGAGGGCACAGATACAGATAATGACCAGCAAAAGTGACTGAGAAGGACTAGACAGGTAGGAAAACCAAGAGAGCATTAAGTCCGGAAAAGCCAGAGGAGAGAATATCCAGGAAGAGATGGTCAGCACTATCAAATACTATAGAGAATTCAAGAAGATTAGGGATTGGAAAAAAAAAGACATTTGGATTTGGCACTTGAGAAATCTATTGGTAAATTTAGAGAGAGCAATTTCAGTTAAGTAGTAAGATTGGAAGCCAGATTGCAAGGAATTGAGTGAAGAAGAGTATAAATAAAGAACAAAGGATATCTTTTCACAAAAGTTTTGTTAAAATTGTACTTTCTTACCTTGAAATTGGGTAATTATGAGGTAGGTGGGGCTGGGAACCTAACAAACATCTATAACTCTTACTATGGAAAAATACCTTCTGAATTTGTAACAGATTTTTTTAAAATTGGAGACAGGCCTGTATGACAAAATGTTGTTCTAGCATAACTTTGTTACCCAGATTCAAATATATATAGATATAGATAGATAGATAGATAGATAGATAGATCAGTTCAAACCATGCTTAAACCACATACGGTGAAGTCTGATGTGATTAGCTATGAGAAGGGTATTAGTCTTATACCTAGATACTAGGTGAACAAAGGCTAGACTTAGCATTGCTACCTGTTATAGGATCAGTCAATCAATAGGTATTAAGCATCTAATGCATTCTATGTACTGGAGATAAAAATACAGTGAAATGGATGAAGAAGTCCCTGCTATAGCTGGAAAGGACCTTAGAAACTAGAGTCCAAACTTCTTCATTTTACAGATAAGAAAGGTGAGGCACAGTGACCTTAAGTGATTTCTGCAGGTCAGAAGGCTATTTGAGGAAGGACTTGTAGTCAGGAGAAGCTCTGGTAACTTCTCTGAGCCTCAATAAAATGGGGCTATAACCACTGTATTCTATCACATGGAGTTGTGATGAAAAACACTTTTTTAAACCTTAAAATGCTATGTAAAGATGAGGGGTTCTATTATCCTGCATTATGAAAACCAGATTAACTTTCTGTTTATAAGATGATGTTGCTGTGACCTAAAGTCATATAGTCCAATCTTTGTTTATTACCTATAAAGTGAAGAGGGTAACATTTATTTACTTAGGGTGTTGTAGAGGTAAACAGTGATTTATAAGATTTTATAATAGTTCTCCATCATAATTCCCTGGTTATTTCAAACAGGTGGTTCTTTGCATTATACATAAATTCATCATTGCTATATTTTATTTTTAGAGCTTTTCTTTTAAATCTAGTACAGATATAAAAACCAAAGATTTGGGGCTTCATGTAAACTCCTCTCAATGATACTTTTTTTTTCTGCCTTTCTAGGGTGGTACCCTCACACAATATGAAGGCAAACTGAGGTTGGTAGAAATCGCTCAAGTGCCAAAAGCCCACGTTGATGAATTCAAGTCTGTATCAAAATTCAAAATATTTAACACAAACAACCTGTGGATCTCTCTAGCTGCAGTCAAGAGACTGCAGGAGCAGAATGCCATTGATATGGAAATCATTGTCAATCCAAAGGTGAGTAATCACATGGGGAAGAGTAGTTAATGATGTCCATGTATACTGTGCGCATCTCCACTAGGAAGTTTCAGTGGATCTCTATTTTAAACCATCTCATGGGGCTTTTAGTATCTCAGAGCCAAATTGACAAGTATATACAGCCCAGCATACTTCCTTTTTCAGACCTTGGATGGAGGCCTAAACGTTATTCAGTTGGAGACTGCAGTTGGAGCTGCTATTAAAAGTTTTGAGAATTCTCTTGGCATTAATGTTCCCCGAAGCCGTTTTCTGCCTGTTAAAACTACATCCGATCTTCTACTTGTGATGTCAAATCTCTACAGCCTTAACGCAGGATCCTTAACAATGAGTGAAAAGCGAGAGTTTCCTACTGTGCCCTTGGTTAAATTAGGAAGCTCTTTTACAAAGGTAATATTTTAAAAATAAAGGTCAGTGTGATTTTCTGAGTGAAACTGTGTATTGCAAAAATGAGGTTTTGTATTTTTTTTTTTTAGCATTTTAATTTATTATGAAGTGTTTATCTCCTAGTTCAGTTATTTTGACCTTAGCACATTTTAAGATAACAGACCATTGTAGGTAAGGTAGGCTGCTGCGGAGATACTTAGCTTTACCTTTGGGGGGGGGAAGTGACGGGGGGGGGGGGGAGAACTACAGTCTTATGAAAGCACTATTTTCTTTTTTGTATGCCAGTTTCTATAATCAAATCTGTTTCAAAATTCAAAATATTGAATACAGTCTGTTTTTGGATCTCTGAGCAGTAAAAGGACTACACGAGCAAAGTGCCATTTGATAGTAAAAATCCATTGTTATTTAATCAGTTTATTTATGGGCAAATTACTTTTATATTTCTAAAATGCTTAATGCACGTAAGTCAAAAGCCATTGCTTAATCCTTGTAAATTAGAGCAACAGTCACAACAGCTCATATTGCCTTTGAATTGTCTGACTCTTTGCCTATCCTTAAAGGCCCAACCAAACCTGACTTCCTAGTCAAAATGTTCCTCACCCACTGATTTCTCTTTATCTCTTGTAATAGCTATTTGACTTACACCTTTGGCACTTAGATGCTTATTACTGTCAATAACCGTTCTTTTTGTTTAGGTCTTATATCCCCAACTACACTGCAAGTTCTTTGAGGGCAGTTTTTTTTCCCCTCCTCTCCTTCACAGTACTTAGCAGTTCGTAGATTTTTCAAACTATTGGTGTGACTGCTGATGAATTAAAGTTGGATAAAGACATGATTCCAACTTCTGTTTGTATAATGACTTGTTAAAAATAGCATGTAACAAGGTAGGTGCAATGCTGTTGTTTGTTTTTGTATTCTCAGTGCCTTAGCATGCTAGGCATATATTGTTGAAATGAATTGTTAAATAAGTTTTTTCCTTATGTAAGGTCCAGGATTACCTAAGGCGGTTTGAAAGTATACCAGATATGCTTGAACTGGATCATCTCACAGTGTCTGGAGATGTGACATTTGGCAAGAATGTCTCATTAAAGGTGTGGAAAATATAGTGGAAACTAGGGCGTGGGGGGGTGGGGTGGGAGGGTGTTTTTTTAATATGGAAACTTGAAGAAATGGACTCACGTTTTTAGCCTTATATTCAGTTTTATTATCATAGGGAAGATGGTTGGTTTAAATTCAAATGTGCAGAAGCACATCTAAATGAGAAGCATACTGACTAATGCACTGATGTTGGGTTATTATAGCAGTTATTTTATATTCAGTAGTAAATACTGCTGAGGCTAATGCTAACATGTTAGACTAGGTAATATCAAAGTATATAAAGGTAAATGCAGTTCAAATGCCTGTTCTACATTTGGGAATTCTGTCTCTGAAGCTGAGTAATTTATTCTCATTAAACCAACTAAAGCATCCTTTGTTGAAATGTATCTTAAGCTTTAGTCAGTACCAAAGTATTCTCCTACTAAAGAAGGCCACCCTAAATTGTTTCCTAGGCACTCTTAGAGGAGATATAAAAAGTGAATAAAATCCACTCATTTTTATCTATAGGTGGTATCACAGTGTCAAACGTAGTAAGACCCAAGTTCAAATACAGCCTCAGTCATCACTAGCTGTGTTACCCTAGGCAGATCATTTAATCTCTCAGGCAGTTTCCTCATTCGTTTAATAGATTAACAACAGCACCTACCTCAGAGTTGTGAGGATTAAATGAGAAAATACATAAAGAGTCTTTTAAGTGTTAGCTAATTTTTGTTACTTATCTGCAGTCATAGGTGTTGTTGATAGCAAGTAAGTATTGTGATACTTTCATGGAGGCAGTTAAATGGAGTGGAAAGAGGACCTAGGATCACACTTCCACCTCTTACACTTGATGACCTTAACAATCATGTCACCTCAGCTAGGCTTCAGTTTCCCTCCATGTAAAATGAGGTTGCACTGGGTGATCTGATGTCCCTTCTGTCTCTAAATCTGTGACTCATTTGTTTTGAGGCAATAGATTCAGAGTCAGAAGACCTAGGTTTATGTATCACTCCTACTACTTACTTCTACCTATACAACCTTAGGCAAGTTAGCAAAAAATCTCTCTGGGCCTCAGTTTCTTCATCTGCAAAGGAAGTCTTGGACTCGCCAAAGAAATGCAAATTTTGGAGCATTTTGCTTGTAGGAGTTGGGACTGATCCCATTGGTCTCATTTGGTATTAGAGATACTTACAGTCTGAAGAACTGCCTAGACACCACTGAGGTGGAACTTAAACCCAGGTCTTCTTGTCTTCGAGGCCAGCTAGCTATCTCTGACACTGCCTCTCCCCCTAGCCTGTGTATATGTAGGCACAGGGTAAGAACATGATTGCAGCAGAACATCTTCTGGGTTGGCCAACATTGGTCTGTAGCCATTCCTCAATTTCTTAACAGGAATGTGAGAAGTCCTTTTTTAAACCTCCTTATTTTCCTCTTAATTTAGGGAACAGTTATCATCATTGCAAACCATGGTGACAGAATTGATATCCCACCTGGAGCTGTGTTAGAGAATAAAATTGTATCTGGTAACCTTCGGATCTTGGACCACTGAAGAAAAAATGTTCTGTATACTTTATTGATTATGAGTTAAATTGTTTTTCACAAATGGAATGTTCAGTAAGGTTTGGGAATAGAGGCAGGTGCTTTATCCACTGTTTCACTGTACCCTGAAGTATTAATTTTTAAAGTAGAGTTTTCTGCAGTATGTTCTTATTTAAAAGCACAGAGGGACATTTGAAAGCAATACTACTACTTCTTTGAAGAGATCTGTATGTCATTACTTAGTGCAATATTGCTGGTCTTTAACAAGGGAATGGCTCTGCTGGAAGATCTTTTGACAGAGGCCTGCCTGGCTCTGGTCATTTTGAACTGCTTGTAATTTAAAAATAAAGCTGTGAAGCAATATATATGTGCACATTTATAATTTTTCAATTATATCATTTTTATGAAGTAATCTTTCACTACTGCAGAATAGATGTTTAAAAGACTGGAAAGGCTTGAAATTGTGGCACTTAAATTTTTGCATCTATGAGAATTTTGTTTGGTTTTATCTATATACAAAATGGATTAATACCTCATCATGTTTCATTGTGAGGATGTAGATTAGCCAGGTTTATTTCCTTCCAAAGAATGTGTTTATTCAAGCCTCTGTGTGTATGTGTATGTATGTTTTTTGCTTGGTGGGAATTGGTTATTGGATTGGATTTGGCTCCTTTCTGCTTCTCTCTTCCTCTTCCCATCTCTCCTGTGGGGTCAGTGAATAGTAAGCAATGGTTTCCCCTTATCCTCTCTTCCTTCCTTTTGCTGCACCCTCCCTTTATGGTTTTGGGTTTGTTATTTTTTAAAAATCATATACTGAAGCAATATTCAGAAGAAAAGAGATTAATCAAGTTTCTCAGAATGGCCAAATAAAGTTCACAAACAGCATTGCGAGTTGTCTACCTGTCATTAAATTACTGTGCCCTTTGTTATAATGGTTGCTTTTCCAGTTCTTCCGTGCTTGTTCCATTAAGATCTATAGTAACGCTAAACTGCGTCTTACCGTATAACTATTAAAAGAAGTTGGTCTTTAAAGTCTTGATATTTCCATAACTTTATTTTTTAGACAGTTTAAGAACTGATGACATCTTCATAAGGGTAAAGAAAAAGACAGGCTTGCCTTACGAGGAAACCTCAATACAACAGAAGACCATTTGGTTGTACATAATCATTACAAGGTTAGGCACTCTGACATGTTAGGTAAGATTGTTAACGTGAGAATGAAGCACAGGCACTTTGTTGCTTGTAGAGTGCTTACTGATTCTAATATTGAAGGTAAAGTGTTTATAAAAAGTCTCCAAACAAGTTAACTCCATTCATCAACTCACACTCCCCTCCCAAATACCATAGCTTATATATAGCAGCCTGTACTATATTATGCTAAAAAATTCTACTACTCTCTGGTCTTTAAACATCACACATCAAAGTAACTTAAAATTAAGAACCCAAGGTGGGCAATGCTTAGGTAACATACAAAATTTTAAAATAAACTTTCACAAGTATACAGACTTGTATAAATAAGCATTTTTACCTCTGCCAGAAATGAGAAAGGCAAAAAAAGAAAATTCTTCATAGGCTGTTTTATAAATATAAAAATACAGATATGGAACACCAGCCCTACTTACTATACTGAAAAGTACTTAAATTAGTAGCTTCATAAATTAATGCCAACATCTTATTCTTTAATCATCACTAATGATCAGCATTTCAAGTGGTCAGATTAACCTGGAAGGCTTTACTCAGTCAGCATTGGTGGCAGTATAAAGAGAAGGTATGAGACACACAAACCCTGAAACATGAAACTGCTTACTAAAACAAAAAGGGGAATCCTAAATCCAAGCAATCAAAAGATGTTTATTTTTTTATAGAAAGATCTGTAAAAAAATAATTTTTCAAACAGCATTACTTTCATAGAGAAAACATTTTCTACAGAGGTTGACTTAAGATTTTAATATTTTAAATTGTACCATCATTAAATAAGGTGGGACACCATATGAATTTCATTGCACTGGAAGAAATGCAAAGCATTTTTTAATATAAAGGTATATAGAGCATTCTAGTCAACTACAGCTGTGTTACAGCTATGTGTTCTTTTGGATTTGGTCCAAAGAAACCTGAGTCTGTTTCCAGAGAGAATGAAAAATGTTATAGACACCTGATCAGTTATCCCTCACTGAGGATGCACAAAAAAGGATATTCCTTGCAGGTCCCACTGAATCCAGTTCCCAACACTGATACTTTTCCCTTCCCTTTCCCCTACATACATGCTTTTGGGCTCTGCTTTAAATATTTGAGACAGGCATCAAGTTCTTCTCAGATGACATCCTGTGGTCTGACACAAATACACAATTTTCCAGTATATTATCACCTCTTCTGTTCCCAGATCTCAGCCATATTTAGGTCCAAATCTTTAAGTCCTTTTAAGGCTTGAAGATTTCCAGTGTAAAAAGCTACATCTGCTGTAACCAACCTAAAAATCAGAAAAGAAAATAATTAAAATACATTAACTGACTCTTGGCTAACTAATCTCGATGTAAACCAAGTCTGTTTAGGAAATCTAATTAGAAGCCAACTCCTCTCTTATAAAATATATCATATTAAGTACTATGATGTACATGCAGATAAGATATTTAAGGAATAAACCGATGTATACTGGAGTTAGTTTATTAATGAGTTTTGCTTGATGAAATGCTTTGTTATAGTGTCTGAAAGAAAAGGGATGTGATAAGTCAAAGGCACTGGGTTTGGATGGAATCAGAACTGGCTCTCTACCACTTGACTCTCCCTTAGGAAAGTCACTTAACCTCTGTAATGACTTTCTTCATTTGTAAAATAAGGAGGCTGAGTATGGGTAACTTCATTTGAAATTTGACCTTAGGATGACTCCAAAATTTTGGGACTGGGAAAGTGATGACATGGTAACGGCCTATAAATGCTTAATAGTGACAGATCACAGTATAAGTAAAATACAGTTTTTTGTCCTCTCCTCCCCTTGGGTAAAGAATAGGATTTAATGAGTAAATGATAGGTAGCTGAAAAAAGCTGGTGCATATTAAAATAGTGAGAGAAAATTATCTTCTATAGTAAAAACTGTGGCTATAGGTGGGTAATGCCTCAGCCATAACTGAAGCACCATCCCCAAAACAGCAACCTATAATTTATAAAATTAAATAAAAGCCTATAATAAGTTTTGTGTGTTTTTATTGGGGGAAGGGTAAGATTGTAAATAATCCAGTAACATTTCAGTCCTGAAATAATTTTCTAAAACAACTGAACAGAGATGCATCAAGAGACTTTATTAAATTCTAGAGATGTTAACTAATTGTTTTGTTCATTTACCATCTCATTTTCCACTTCCTACTCCAGCCCCCTTTCTCTCTCTTCCCCCTCTCCCCCCCAGGCAATGAAAAGAGTGGAATATGTTTAGTCCCAGTCATTGCCTGGTTCAGACTCCTTCTCTGTACCAATTCTTGCCTTTGAACTAGGGGATGCCGACGTACATGTTAATGTCTCCTCAAATACTTCGGCTATGCACAGGGATGGTCACATCTTTGATCCTAATACTCACAAGTGTACTTCCATGATGAAATACTCCATAATTCTGTCATCCTATCATCCTGTCTCCCCTAGCCTCATCCATCCTAAGTCAATTATTATTCATCTTCACCAAGACTTCTAACCCTCAGTACTCTCCCAGCCATCATGGCTGCTCTAATTTCACTTTCCAACCTTCCTAATCTCAACTATGATAGTATTCGTATAGATGTGAAAAGGTCTGCAAAGCACGTTACATGTTATCTCAAGTGGTCCTCACAACAAACCTGTAAGGGAGATGCTGCTATTATCTGCATTTTAAAAATATGGAACCATAGTGTACACAGTAACAGCAATATTGCACAATCATCAATTAAATGACAGTTGTCTTCAGCAATACAATGATCCAAGACAATTCTGAAGGACTTATGATGAAAAATGCTATCTACCTCCACAGAAAGAATGGAGTCTAAATACAGATAGAATACTATTTTTACTTTCCTTTTTTCTTCTTGGTCTGTGTTTTCTTTCACAACATGGTTAATATGGAAATCTGTTTTTCGTGACTACATATGTAATCTATATCAGATTGCTTGCCTTCTCAAGGAAGTGGGGGGGGAGTGTGGAAGGAAGAGAAAGAATTTAGAACTCAAAATTTTAAAAAATGAATGTTAAAAATTGTCCTTTAAATATAATTGAAAAAAATGTATTTTTTTTTAAAAAAGATAAGGAAACTTAGGCTGAAAAAGGTGACATGACTTGCTCAGGGTCACACGGCTATGAAGTGTTAAAGTCAGGGTTTGGACTCAGGACTCCCTGACCCCAAGCCCAGAACTCTGCTGGCTATGTCCTGCAGTCCTGTGCTCCAAAGGCCCTTCCTTCCCTCTTGTCCCCACCTTCACCAGTTATGTAGGTTACAGGAGTGTGATCTCAATAGTTACCACACATTCTAGCCTTTGTCTTATGTATCTGAAGTAACAGACCTTTTAAGTAGGGGACAATGTTCAGCAAAGGCCTTGCATTTTTAGTTCAAGAAAAATTTTAGATTCAAAGTGTTTTTTGCTCAAGAAACAGATTTTTAAAATGAGAGGCAGCACGATGTATTAACAGAGCAGCAAACCTTAAAATCAGTTCAGCCTCTCAATATCCCAAAGACACTGACTATAAAGTATAGACAGATTACTGTTAATCCATATTAGTGGAGGAGGTGCCCACACTTATGATGCAGTGCTCAATATGTACACTGGCTAAAGTGAACAATGACTGAAAAAAGATTAGAACCTTATCAATGTGAAGACATGATCTTAGAAACTGGATGTAAATTTAGCATAAAATGTTTGGTAACATTTCTTCTGCAGCACTGCTGGGGAGATAGTTCCACTGGAATAAATGCTTTTTAGGTACCAACACCAATATTTAACAAATATCTTGCTTTAATCAGAACAGACAAAAAAATAATGCAGTGAAAATAACATATACTTTATAGGCTCATTTAAAGGACAAAGGTACTTGATGAGTGTAAAGCCTACAACTTCATG